CTCCCGTGGCCAACCGTGTGGGGAGGAGCGAGAGGCTGTGGTCGCTCGGCACAGTGGATGATGCACTGCCATGAACCACCCGCTTCCATTCTGCTGAGTTTATTTCTGTCACGAGCAAGCGAGAGAGAAAGTGCCCCCAACAGGGTCTTGACGGCCATCTGCCCCAGCTTTGGCCAGCCAGGTCCTGGGCAAGCGTGTGTCGCATACGCAGGGAGCCTCTGGTCTTGACCGGGACCCCACTATGTGAGAGTCCCCTGCAGGGCATCACGTTTCACCACTGCACCACCATCTGGTCCTCACCTGACCTCTCTAAAACGATTCATCTCATTATGTGAATTATACTCCAATTATAAAAAAATTGTTTTAAATAAAAATATATATATAAGCATATCCTTACATACACTTTCCAAATACTAGCCATACAATTAAATGCAAAGCTCTTTATATACCAGGGCCAGCAGGCAGTATAGTGGTTAAGGTGGATTCCCATATGGTTAACGTGGTTCGAGTCCCAGATTTGGTGGCTTGCTTATTTTCCCTTTCTTTCTCTGTCTCTCTCTGTCCAAATTAAAAAATAATAGTGGGGCTTGCAGGTGGTATGGTGGTTAAGGGTGCTGGGCTCCCACCACACAGCAGGCTGTGGTTTAAGTCCCAAATCTGGTGGCTTGCTTTCTCTTTCTTTGTCCCCCTCTTTCTTTCTCTCTCTCTTTGTCCCTCTCTGGTCAAATCAAAATAAATAAATAAATAAAATATTTTCAAAATTAATAGTAACAAATTAAAAATTAAATAATAATTTTTAAAAATTCGTTTAAGTTCTTTATATACCATGTAACAGGACTTAACATTCTTGAGACATTAATTGTACTAATTTTACCTTGCTCTGGCCCTTTTCATAGCTCCAAGAATATAAGGTTCCGATAATCTGAACAAACTTTAGCAGAGAAATTCGTTTGGTGTGGCTGAAAGGCCTCAGTCCTGAGAAAGACATCTTAATTGTCCCTGAATTGATGTTTGAGTCAACTCTAAACTGTACTCATCACTCACCGTTGCTGTTACACGTTGCTATGTCATATGACCTGTCCCCAAAGGAGCGTGTGCTGCGAGCTCGGTCCCCAGGTGCTGGTGGTCAGGGTGGTAGGCCCTCTGAGAGGTGGGCCCTAGTGTGTGTTGTTTAAAAAATGGGGCACAGCCCCCATGAAGAGATTAGTGCTATCTTGTGGGAGTGAGTCCCTGCTCTTGCAGAAGTGGGTGAGAGTAGCTTTTATAAAAGTAAGATGGCAGGGCCGGCAGGTGGCGGGTGGTTAAGCGCACTAGACTTCCACATAGCCAACCTTGGTTCAAGTCCTGGAGCTGGCGGCTCACTTTCACTTTCTCTCTCTCTCACTCTGTCCCTCTCTGGTCAAATGAAAATAAATAAATCAATAAATAAAGTAAAATAAAAATAATTCTTTTATAAAAAAAAAGTGAGATGGCTGTCCACAGCCCGCCCTCTTCATGCACACCCGCCATCCTCGCTGCTGCTGCCAGCCATGTTGCCGCAGAGCGCCAGAGGCCAGCAAACGCCAGTTCCATTCTCTGACTTACGGCCACCAGAACTGAGTCAGATAAACCTCTGTTCTTTACAACCACCCAGTGTCAATGTTCCTGCTCAGCCACACAATAACTGACTAAACCACTAGCTCACATGCAGGCTCTAACTCTGCCTGCTCACCCTGCCTTTGGCATTCGTGTGGTGAATTAATTTTAAGCAGACCATTTGAAAGGTAGGCGACTCATCAACGAAGCACTCACCTGAGCTGAGTGCAGTTTTCTCTAATCCCAACTTCCAACAGGCACCCAGACAGTGCATTTTCTCCAAACAAAATGGGTTTGAAAGTTGCTGATGTACACAAACCCCTTCCAGCTATAAAAGAAAGAAATCAGCCTCTTAGTATTTTTGCTAAATAAAACTAAAGTTTTATTTCACAATTTTTCTTTTTTTCTTTTTTTTGAGTTTTTACTATAGGGTGCGTGTGCTCGCCAGAAAGACAGAGACAGAAAGTGAGAAATCATCCCCCAGGGGGGATGGCCATGCCACAATCCCTTCTCCTCCACTCTCCTCTCAGGATCTTGGGCACGCACGCACACGCGCCCGGCGTGAGTTTAAGCCACCGGGTCCAGGACTTGAACCATGGTCAACTACATGGGAGTCCAGTGACATAGCCATTATGCTAACTGCTGGTCCCAACACTAGTCCCTTCAAAGAGGAACTAGGCGCCTTTCTGTATCAGGAGTCCTGGCCGTGGTAAGCGGTTTACTCTGCACAAGACACACGATGCCTGTGGCAGGTGTGCTATTACCGCCGAGGCTTCCCGAGCTCAGGTGAAGGTATTCTGCCCCGGAGCACCACACTGACTGCGGGCCACACTGGGGGCTCTCTGGCCAGCCTCCCATCGGGATCGCTCACAAATAACCAGCACTTCAGGACCAACCACGTGAGCATCCCCTTAGGAACAACGCTACAGAAGCATTGAACTGCTACCTCCTTCCTGCTCAATCAATGAGCAGGGCTCCGAAGCAGCTGCTGGGTGGATGGCATTCTAAACGCGGAAATACTCCCAGCTCTGGGTTGGCAGAGGGCTCGTCGTCAGGCCCACAGGAGATTACCTGACTGCCAAAGGTGGAGACTCGTGCTGTTATTCATCCTGTCGGTATTCAGAGCGCGAACAGGCTTGCCAAGTTGGTAACCTAGACACACACGACCAACAACAATTAGCACTTTGCTGCTGAAGTCACTCTGGCGTGGCGAGCGCGCGCTCAGCGGTGATACAGAGCAGGGGCGAGGAGACGGGCGGGCAGAGCTTTGGTTCTCCCAGCTCGCCACAAGCACGTGCGCACCAGAGGAGAGGAGCGGTGAGTGGGGAGGTGAGACAGCACCCACGGGGGGTGGTCACACCACAGTCCCCCCCCTCCACTTCTCCCACCTCTTGGGATTCGGGACATGAATGATCAAGGGTCTAGACTGTTTCTCAAACCCCCTGGTCTGGGATTCAAAACCTATGGTAGGTCATGTGGGAGCCAGCTGCCCCAGACTCCTTTTTATTTGTTTGTTTCTTTTGCCAGAGAGCACATGCTCTTGCTGGACAGAGACACAGAGACACACAGTGAGAAGGAAAGTGGGGTGAGAAAGCACCCCGCCGCCCCGTGATGGGTGTAATGCCACATCCCTTTGCCTCCGTCTCTCCCTCCTTTCGGGATTCTGGGCATGTACAAAACAGCTGGAGTGTTTTTCCAGCCACTGGGTCAGGGCTCCAGTGGCACAGCCAGTCAGATGGCAACCAGTCACCTTAGCCCCGGCCATGGGCTGGCCACACAGGCAAAGCTTTTTAAAGATAGCTCAGGGAGAGTAATATCTCCCTCATTTCATTTCGTTCTTGTTTTCTTTACCAGACAAAGGCATTCATGGAATTTTAATAATAAAATCTGAAAAGTAAAAAGCAGACACAAAAGGGACCTGGAGATAGCTTAATGGTTACATCGCTGGGCTCCCACATAGTCAACCATGGTTCAAGCCCCAGACCCAGCCGCTTAAAATTCATGCTGGGTACGTGTTTGCATACCCAAAATCCTGAGAGGAGAATGAAGAAGGGATTGTGGTGTGGTGATTTCTCTGTGTCTCTCTCTGTCTCTCTGGTAAGCGCACATGCACTGTAGCAAAAATCTCTCTTTAAAAAAAAAAAAAAAGGGAGACACGGGGCCCGCCACCCTATTAAACAGTCCCATTGTTTGGGCATAGCTGGCTTGGTCCCC